ATTGACTTGCTAACAGTGGTTTGGTCTTCGTTTTGTCTTTTGATTTAATGATCCAATGTTATGGATCTTTTCTATTTTATCTCAACTATCCAATGCTTTAGAATAGCAGTTCTCAACCTGTGAGTCGCGACTCCTTTGGGGGTCAAATGACTCTTTCACAGGGGTTGCCCATTTCGTAACAGTAGCAAAATTACAGTGATGAAGTAGCAACAAAAATAATTTTCTGGTTGGGGGTCACCACCACATGAGGAACTGTATGAAAGGATCATGGCATTAGGAAGGTTGATAACCACTACTTTAGAACATTCAAGTTGTCCCCCATTATAAATAATACATTTATAGAGTTATTTCTTGCAGTTTTTTTATTCACAACTGCCATCACTTCCTTGCATTAAATACCCAGAAGTGAAATGATGGGTTGAGGCATAGCTTTTAGACATGTTGTGAAATTTTCCTATTGAAATGTTGTGGCTCATAATTTGGTATTTATGAGACTGCTTTTCTTTAAATCCTGTTTTGACACTGATATTAACTTTTCAAAAAGATTTTGTTAATATGATATCAAAATTATAGATTACTGTCTTATTGCTTTTGTTTATTATCCAATGAAATGGAATATTCTAGAATACTGTTTATTTATTTTTATTTATCTCTGTGTTATCTGTACACATCCTTGTCCATACTTTAATTGGTGGATCCAGTCTCTTACTGGTTGATGGCAGTTATTTGTATATTAATGATTTGAACATTTGTAAAATACATTGAACATCATATTTAGAATGTATTGCTTTGCTTTGGCATTTCATGTGGTGTTCCTAGTTTTAAAAGAAGTAGAAACATTTCATATTTTTTGCTGATTCCACAGTAGTGAATTTTATCTAATAGAAAATGTACTCACATTGCAAAAAATCATAGCATTATTGGATTTTATGCCTGAGAAAAATCATACATGTAACTTATAACTATGTAAGATGAAGAAGTTTACCACTTTGACTTTAAATTATTTTTTCTCTCTTCTTCAGTAATTTCTATATATCTGACAGCTCCATCTTGTTGATTATATTGAAGGCAGTAAGCAGTACAATAGAAATCCAATTTTCTGAATATAAAGGTTCCATTGGTTGATCTATAAAGTCGGTAGACACCTCTTGTTAGACCCTTTACAAAACCTTAAATCCTGAGTTCAAAGTCCTCACTTACATCTTGACAATAGCTTTCAGCCCTATCAACACAAGAATGAACACACTTCTTCTCTTTCAAGTTATGAAATCATATTCTCTTTATATCTGTTAACATAGTTCTTCAAAGGAACAGAACTTTGTTTAAGAAAATAAAAAACCCTCTTTATTTTCTTCAACTCTATTGGGAAAGTCAGACCAAAAGACTTGCAACTTAATGGAATATCTTAATTCCCAGAGAAGGAGGAAGAAAGTTAGAGGAGGTTGAAGTGGAAATGGGCAGTATAACAAAAGCTCTCCGGAGAAGTGAAGAAGCTTTTATATCTGTAGCATACACTTATTTTATTTCCCAGCAATCACCTGGCCATTTAGGAAGACACAGAGTTTTATGTTGTTGTTGTTGTTGTTGAGTCAGCTTTGGTGTTATTGGAAAGGTAGTAGCTATGAACAAGTCTTTGGTCTTGCAAAATTCTATCAGGAGGTCTCCAGCTTTGTGTCTATCACCAAGTCCATACTTTCCAACCACTGTACCATGTTAGAGGAAAAGTCCAAGCAGTTTACTTGTTGGTCATTGTCAATACGGTAACATTGATCACCACCATGTTAATTCAATTTGAAATCACAATGAAATAAAATGACTGCTTCCCAATAGCTCTTGTCATGATCCGCAGTGAGAGACCACTAATGCATCCCCAAGTGATCAATTATCGATACATATGTTGGTTTTCTTGTTAAAGTGCCATCTGGTCTGTGGCAACTCCTAGTGACCCTGTCTATGTTCAGCAGGACAAGAATGCGCCGTCCTCACGGTTGAGCTCCTTGTTGCCTCATGGTGTCAACCCATGTTATCGAAGGTCTTCCTCATTTTCACTGACCCTCTCCTTCACCGAGGATAAAACCTGATGCACTTGAATTATGGTGTTAGCAAAGACTACTGAATGTACATGGACCGCCAGGAGAACAAACACATCCGTCTTGGAGGAAGTACAGCCAGAGTGCTTCTTAGAAGCAAGGATGACAACCCTTCATCTCACATATTTTCAACATGTTACCGAGAGACCAGTCCCTGGAAAAGGGCATCATGCATCTATGCATATAGATATGTATTAAGCATAGAGATTACTGTTAGTATTCTTTATAAGCATAAAAACATACTCCTTTTTTTTTTCTTTTTTAACATTTTATTAGGGGCTCATACAACTGTTATCCCAATCCATACACACATCAATTGTGTAAAGCGCATTTGT